TTGAAATGATTGGCTTGGCTTTGCATAGGAACCTTTTACGTTTATATGGCTTTTGTATGACCCAAACGAGAGGTTGCTTATTTATCCTTTTATGCCAAATGGAAGTGTTGCAGACCGTTTGAGAGGTCCGTCTTCATTTCATTTCGTTGCTTATTTCTTCCCTATGATAAAATCATTCTGTTGCTTTCCAATTTTGGGGTTTAATTACAGAACAATGATGCATTGCTATATGTCTTTACTTTCTTTCCTATCAAATAAGTTAAGCTGGGTGCTAATAAATTTAATTCATTTGTTATCTTCGTGAAGGAAATTGATATTCCTCATAATTTCACATGCCTATATTTTGACTAGTAATGCATTCTAAAAGTCTTCCTTGGTCCAAGCAGATTAACAATTTGTTCATCTACCATTCGTCTTTTACACTAAGTAGCTTGTCTTTTTTATTTCTTTGCTGGTTGTTCTTACGATTTGAGTTTTACTAACAGAGACTGGTCGAGAAAAACCATCATTGGATTGGAACAGAAGATTGTGTATCGCCCTTGGGGCTGCCCGTGGACTCCTGTACTTGCATGAGCAGTTAAATCCAAAAATTATTCATAGGGACGTCAAAGCTGCAAACATTTTACTTGATGCAAGTTATGAAGCCGTAGTTGGGGATTTTGGTCTAGCCAAGCTGTTAGATCGGAGGGAATCACATGTTACTACTGCAGTGCGGGGGACTGTAGGGCACATGGCACCAGAGTATCTCTCAACCGGACAGTCTTCTGAAAAAACTGATGTTTTTGGATTCGGTATACTGCTTCTGGAACTCATAACAGGGCAGAAAGCATTGGATGCTGGAAATGGTCAAGTTCAGAAGGGGATGATTCTTGATTTGGTAAGTAGTGTTAGTTTCACATGTTTTCTCCTGTTGTTTATCTCATGTAAAATTGTCTGTCTCATTATTCGCGGGAATGCTTTTCAGTTTATAATTCATCCTTGTCTGTCTCATACATCTAAGCTGTGTAAAAGAAGAGTTAATCTTTCACAATTCCTAGTTTGCACTCTTTTATTTTTGTCTCCGTTTTCGTGCCATTTCAAACATTTCACAGAATCTTGAATTGTGCAGGTTAGAACCCTACATGAGGAGAAAAGGCTTGAAGTGCTAGTAGACCGAGATCTTAAAGGATGTTTCGATGCAATAGAACTAGAACAATGTGTCGAGTTAGCTCTCCAGTGTACTCAATCCAGCCCCATCCTCCGGCCAAAGATGTCAGACGTCTTGAAGATTTTGGAAGGCCTTGTTGGGCAATCAGGACATACAGAGGGATCACAAGGCGGAACCAACCTCTTTGAGGCCAGGGCTCATGATTTCTCCAGGACTTGTAGTAATGTGCATCAAGAGTCTTCTTTCATCATTGAAGCCATGGAGCTTTCAGGACCTCGTTGACAAGAAAATATCGAGTTGTATTGTAGTATTAAAGAGAAATTGTAATGGCAGACGTGGTTTAGGCCAGGTGGCTAGGGCTGTCGGTCTGCCCTTTCGCAGGCTTGCAGGCAAGTTCAAAAGGAAAGTGCAACTGTAAATGAATCTTACGTTCTGTTGTTTGGATTGGGTTGCTAATTCACTATATAGAGTTCTTTCCTAATTAAACTAACATGTTTACTTACAACTGAGAATAAAAATGATTTCGATTATTTCAATTCTCGACTTTTCTGCTTTTACTAAAACATCGGTATTGGAATCACTTCAATTCCCAATTTTTCATGTGGTTAGTAACAATATGGAATTGGGAAAGTGCGGATTCCACTGTAAACTTCATAATCTAATACCTGAAATTTTAGGAATTGGATCAAGCAGAGAAGACTAATTGATCTCAGTTTTTATTTTTTCTTCATGATTCGTGACTTCTCTCGTTCTGTAAGTGATCAAAATAGTGACACAACATACCGTAGATAGATAGAACAAACCCATGATTGAGACCCTTTTTGGATAAGAATCTTGATTCCCTTTTGTAAGTTGCAACCACATCAGATTGGTTGTGGATTGGCAAATCACTATGACTACATGCTAATGCCAAAGTGCCAGCCTTGGTTTCTTTCTCAAGTTCATAGTCTTTGCTTTTAATTAGGGTTCGTGATGTGTACACAACCTTATTGGTGGTTGACTGGCCGTGGGACTAGACCTTCTTTATCCATCATTTGGTTTTGGAAGAACGATTTATATGGGTCGGATTCATTGGACCAGATCTTTTTACATATGATATCATATTATTGAATAAGAAAATAACGTGATGATGAACTTGTTCATGTAAATTGTTTTTTTTATCTTAGGGTATGCATGCATGTGTCGGATTTACACAGGTCGCATAATTGACCCGCAGAATTTCCATGCCCTAGGTCGACATGTACCTGGTGTACCATAATCTTCCACAGTACATTTCATTTCATGGATTTGAATTGCACCTTCCACCATGATATTCTATTCTAAATTAATAACTCAATGGTGTGACATGCATACCATTTTTGTGACAGGTATGTTACAGAACTCTTGGTTGCATTGGTTTATTGTGATAGCCGTACAATTATTGCGAATAATCTACAATCAACAAATTGATAATTGGAGCAAATGCACTCACATGAAACCTCTTGTATTTGATTAATCTTAAAAATGAAACACCATTACTTTTATAAAAAAATACATGGGCAAGTTAAACACATAATTAAAAAGTGTTATTAATTTAAAATATCGTCATGCATGGAATCCCAAATATAAATAAGTTATTCCCAAATTGTTTGAGTTATAATATTTTTTTTTGGTACATACAAAGTTAACTGAGTTATGTTTGCATTTTTTGCAGGGGCCTTGTATATCTTAATCAGATAATGCCTGTTGAAACAAATAGTATTATTGCTATCAGGACAAAAGAAGATAATTATATTGACGCTTATTGTTGACCCTACAAGGTCTGATTATCTTAACCCTAATTAAGCTAATGATAATACTAATTATTGTCAATTAGTTGGGTAACTGTACCATCCAAGAAAAAACAAACCCTACTTAATTTCTTTCCTACAAAACAACTCCCCCTTATATCTCATCAAACTACCTTATGTTCAAGTATTTTAAGCTTAAACCTCCCTGAGTTAAGGATATATATTTCGTATTATACCTTTATAAGAGAGTTGCTGTGTGCCATCCAAGTAAAGTCAGCTCCACCCAACTGGTTAATCGACATTCAACATACTATAACTTGAATGCATTTTGTATGTCATTGATTGGTAAGTGTAATCAGAGCCAGCCTGACCCGGAAGGTGCATATTTATTTCTTATATAAATTAATTAAAGACTAGAAAATATGATTATTTTTTTAGTCTCGTATTGACAAGGTTAGTAAATAAAAACAAACACCTCACGATTTATATAAAGATACTTCAATAATTTAGATAGAGGGGTAAGAAAACTCATCATCTATCTACTTATAAGCTTGGGTTTTCGGTCCCTTCTCTCAAATACAAAATAAATTGATTTTTTCTATCTTTCTAAATTATTGAGTTTGAAGTGTTTTTGTTACAAAATTAGCAACCTAAATATTAAGCTACTAATTACACGTTCTTAACGGGTCCTCATTAACAATCTAATGGGTTGATTTACCACCTCTATATGTCTTGTAATTTATGTTTGCTTTTGAATCGTTCTTCAATCTTATTTAAAATTCCGTTGTATAAGGAATTTTTCAAAGAAGTTAAATATTAGGTCTGCAATTATAATTCTTAGACCGATCAACAAAATGTTCCTCGTACCACCAACCTCATACAATGTATATACACTTAAATTTCATGAAAATGCACCATATCTTATTAATTTTATATGCATTATTTTAACCTAATTTTAGGCAGGAGATACCTTTATAGCCAAGTTTGATCCAATGACAAATTTAAGAATTAATCCAACTCTTGTTATATTTTTAAATAGAGAAATAAAGCCCTCTACCACTCAAGTTAGACGCTTTGCAGCATCAACATGTTCTTGCCAACAGGGTTGGTGCACCATTTTTAGTCTTTTTTTTTTTTTTCTGAATCCAACCAGACATCACGAAACATGAGTCTGATTAACTTGTAAACCAAAGAAAGAAAACGGGAAAACTTTACATATATACACTACAAGTTTTCATCAAGAAGTAGAAGTCGGGAGGCACTAAGGCCATCTCCAACTAACCCGACCAAAAGGCCATAGGGCTAAAAATAGCTCGGAATGACACGAAAACCGTCTCTAACCGAGGGCTAGGCCAAAGGGCTTGTGGACCCCTCCGGGCCAAACCCCCCAAATCAGGCCAGCGGGCTGACCATTTCCAGCTAGACAGCCAACCCTCTAACTTAGCCCATTTGAATGTCAACGGCTATCTGACGTAAGACCCTTCAATTAAAATAACCATATTAATTCAATTAAAATAATAAATTATGTTTGACCTATGACCTTTTGGGCCTCTCGATTGGAGACGGTATAAAATATGGTATGACACTGTTCGTTAAAATATAATTTCTTGCAGGACTATAGGGCTAAAGAGAATCCTCTGGCCCTCCTTCAATTGGACATAGCCTAAATAAAACGGGAGCCCTTTGACCCTCACTGCAAAACTCTACCTCGAGAGTTATCCGCAATGCTTATTACCAGTATATCCCAAAGAAAACGGAAAATTTTGACCTAGATCCAATAGAAGGCGAGAGGCACAGAGACCTCACTACAGAATTCTACGTCAAGAGTTATACACGTCTTATTTTCGATTAGTACCACTCTAAGTCTCTAACAACTCGGAGTCATACGCGGCTCATTGACGGTATATCCTGAAGGACAAATGACATGGCGAGGAGTACTTGGTTTTTGCCAATAGGAAGAAACATCACATCTAACCAAACCTTGAAAGTAAATCCGCAAACAGTTGAATCTATCCGAAGACTTCCTTCCCACCTTGTAAACTTCTCCTCTGGTTCCTCAAGTCGCGGCAAAAACACTCCAACACACACACAAAACGCCACTCGCACAAAAGTTTACCCATTCAAAACGCAACCCCGAACAATCTCTGCCCAATCGAATTCCTGTCCAAATAAAATTACATTAAATTCCCCCAGCTAGCAAATCAAAAGAAATCTTTTTAATCAATTTCTTTGCACCTTCACCTTCCAAAAGAAAAAAAGAAATAAATATCTGCACTCCTCATCCAATCCAAAATTCAAGTTTCCTTGTCTTCTTCTTATTATTTTTCATTCCCTTGACCTTTCTATATTCTTTTGTCCAGTTTTTATCTTTTGTTTGCATTCTTCACCAACTTCCTACTCTTTCCTCCGTGCACGTTATATAAATTTATCAAAAACCCAATTTCTAGTATTTGAAAGCACATACTTGGTGTAGTTGAAATCGTATAAAATTAAAATCCCAGATCTGAAATTTCCCATGTTTTAGTTTCTGAGGATTTAAAGTTCTATTTTTTGCAGCTCCTTTTCTGGGATTGATCAGGCCTGTACGGATGAAGGTTTGGTTTTTAGTTCTTGGGATTTTTCTATTTTTTTAGTAGTTTATTCGTCGATTATTTGATGATTGGATATTATATATACACACACGCATGGAGTGGTTTTTGATCACAATGCTTATGGTTTAGAGAGATAAGAATGTTATGTGCATGTTGGTTGTGTAATTGGATTTGTGTGTGAACTATTGGAGTTGGTGTTTTTCTGTGAAGTTTTAGAATTGGGTGTGTATTTTATTGCTGGGTGTGTGAGAAAGTTGGTGTCTTTTGGAGGTTAGAGAGAGAGTTTTTGTTTAGAAATGGATGCCGGGGCATGTGATTTGCAGGATAGGAGGGAGGTGTTGGGTGGAGTTGATCAAAAGGGGAGTGAAAAGTCGAAATGTTCTGTTGTTTGGTCGGTTGTCGAGACTGTTATTGTGATTGAATCCGAAGAGGATGTTCGTGTCACCGGAAAAAATGAAGATTTGGAAGCATTGGGGAGTGAGTTGGGGTCTGATAAAGCAGAGGTAGAAGGGCTTGAGAAGCCGAATGATAAGGAGGCATGCGGCCAGCGTGGTAGTGATGAGGTACCTAGTCAAGTTGAGCAAGGAGCTAATAAGAATTCGAACAGTTCGGTTGATGGGAATGTATCTGAGACCGTGGTTGTCATTAATTCAAGTGAGTCTACGAGTGCAGTTGGAGATAACAGAAGATTGGTTCCGAAGGTTGAGGAATTAGGGTCGAGTAAGGTATTAATGGAAGAGTCAAAGAAGAAGGTGCCTCAAGCAGAAAAGGATTCATATGTGATTGATATGAAGTGTGGGAGTGGTAAAGGGTTTGGTAATAAATGGGACGGGGAAAGGGTCTGTAGGATTTGCCATCTAAATTCTGATATCTCACCGCCGAGAAAAATGGGAACTGCTAATAGTTCTATCACAGCAGATTTAATTCAACTCGGTTGTGGGTGTAAAGATGAGCTTGGCGTTGCTCATGGTCATTGTGCCGAAGCATGGTTTAGGGTAAAAGGAAACAGGTAACTCTTTCTTCATATCTTTATAACAATACATGTATTTCGACGATATTCTTTAAGCTCTGTGCGTTTGGAACTTCATTTTGTATTCGGCTATACTATCTGTAGTTTCTATGTTTTTCTTGTCTTGTATCTCGTGTTTGATGTTTCTGAGCTCATAATGTTGGGTAACTAGATCGTAATTCTTATTTATACCTGTTGAAATCTAGACCTAAGACAAAGGTTCCCAATAGACTTCTTTCTTCAACTTGTTGCTAAATTGTTCAACTTCGTTGCTTGCTGGAAAATCGATGGTCTTTTCCTTTTCGGAATGTGGAAACCAACTGAGTTACTGAACCTCCAAGAATTGTTAAGTGAAAACTTATCAGATTTAGTTTTGTAAAATAGATTGCACAGGTGATTAGGTCTTTGTTCCATTTTATTAACTGTAGTCTAGTTTTTCGTTCATAATTTGGTTCTTTTTCTGTTTCGAATCCTGGATCAATGTCATAGTGAACACGCTATAAAATAGCAACAGGACAACTGGCGAGGTAGCAGAAGAGAAAGAGAGATTCTTCATTTCCAATAACTAAGCAATGCTATGGCTGCTTTTAAACTTTTTTGTTAGAGTTTATGCCGACTCCTTTCTCATTTTATTCATACAGGACGTGTGAAATATGTGGAGAGACCGCGCAAAACATTACTGGTCATGGGAATAACAGATTTATGGAGGAGTGGCATGAAGCAACGCTTGCTGATATCGGTAATAACTCATCGGAGAGGAATGTATCCTGTTGGCGGGGCCAACCATTTTGCAACTTCATAATAGCATGTTTGGTGATAGCTTTTGTACTTCCATGGTTTTTTCGTGTGAATCTGTTCTAGGCTCCAGCAAACGGATGTGAATAAAATCTCAAGCTTCTTCTGTTGCATTATGTTTCAAGGCTGCATGTGCAGCGTGCATCACGTGGAGTATTGCGACATCTTGCCTTAAATTGGATTTTTCCGGTCTTCCATTCACTTGCAAAGCACTCTGTCAAATTCTGCGTAAGCCCTCTGGCATAGATTTTCGCCTTTGTAGCTCAAAAAAAAAAAAGAAAAGAAAAGAAAACGAAAAGCTAGGACATGAAATTAGAAAGGGAAAAGGTTTTAATTCTTTCTTTGTTGTAGACTCCATTTTTAAGTGAGAAATTGAATAGACATTTCCATGAATTCTGCACTTTCATCTGTTCAAATGTAGGTTACGGAGACTTATGATGCATGATGCAGCATGACTTTTGTGTATATCCTTGGAAGAACAAGCATACCGGAACATAGAGCGACCATTTTCTTTCTGTTTTCCGGTATGTTTGCCTCCACGCCAAGAAATCATTAGCACTAAAATCATGAACTCTAGTGCGTACGTCAGTTTTAAGTAAACCTGCAAACACAAACGGGTGAGAGGGAGAGAGGGGAAGGAAGCCGCCATGGATGAGACGTGGGAAGAAACAGCCAGACTACTGTATGTGAGCATTAAGATCAAAGAAATAGATGGATCATTTTCGTTAACTCCGTTAAATATTTCGTCCGGACTGCAGTGGATCATAATGAGCTTGAATCCATAGATTTCCACTTAAGCCCTCAAGATTTTCACTTAACATCTTAACTTTACTCTCTCAACAAAAACCCACCGCTCCTCCCCTGTCATTCTTTCCTTATTTGCCCTTTAATTTGGATGAAATACCTAACGGAATTGACGAAAATGATCATTGTTCCACATTTTAACAAGTTCATGGACCAGTGATCACATATTTTTTAGTTTATGAACCAAAGCTCTCGTTGTGTTAAAGTTCAAGGACTATTTCTCCAAATTCCTGTTCAATAAATATAAACGTTGGTCAAGTAGTATTGTTATTCATTTATAAGTAAGAGGTTTTAAGTTTGAATATTATGAAGGACCAGTTCAATACTAATTTACATCGTTGTATATATGTGTATATATATAAACGTTATCTTCCGTTGCTGTGCCAGAAAACCCACGAGCCCAGCCAAAGTGTTGGGTTAGATATTCACTTCCGGCCCGAAATACTCTCGGATTGAAGTCAAATGAGGGTTTCGACGCAGCCCAAATGAGAAATATAAACCCTAGCTTCCTCACTTCCCCTCCTATTTGTATTCCATCTTCTCAACTTCCGCTGCTTCTCCACCTTCTCTGCAACACAACTCATCCCACAATGGTCTCTCTCTCCTCCCTCCCTCCCTCTCTCTCTCTCTCTAACTCTCTTCTTCTCTCACATGGTTGTTTGGATTTCTGATGAATTTGTTGCTTTGGTGTTTTGAATTTCAGGCGTCGGAGAGCAAGATGGCGAATCCCATGAGGGAAATCAAGGTTCAGAAGCTCGTCCTCAACATCTCCGTCGGAGAAAGCGGCGATCGTCTCACCAGAGCCGCCAAGGTTCCTCCTTTCTACTTACTTCTCAACCCCCCTCCCCCCAAAACCCAAAAAAGTCATCCAAAATCGTAGATACTGATATTTCATTTCCGATTTTGCCCTTTTCTCTAGGTCTTGGAGCAGCTCAGTGGGCAGACCCCTGTCTTCTCCAAAGGTGATTGGATTAGGTTATATATATATATATTTTGCGTACTATTTATTCATGTATTTATTTGTGAGTTGTGATTCTGTGCAGCTCGATACACTGTGAGGTCTTTTGGGATCAGGCGTAACGAGAAGATTGCCTGCTACGTGACTGTCCGCGGCGAAAAGGCAATGCAGCTTTTGGAGAGTGGACTGAAGGTCAAGGAATACGAGCTGTTGCGCAGGAACTTCAGTGACACCGGATGCTTTGGTTTCGGTATTCAGGAACACATTGATCTCGGAATCAAGTTAGTGCTTCTCTATGTTTTATTTTGACATTTACCCTCATGGAATTTTTCCTTTGTTGAATAATTGTGTTTAATGATTTTGCGAAAATGACATGTATGTTGATTGGTTTTGTGTTTGCGGTTTAGATTATATCTTATATGAGATTGCGAAAGTTATGTAACGTATATATCGGAGTTGGATATGATCATTAACTTATTTGTAAAATGAGTTCTAACTTTTAACTACTATCGGATTAGAATTAAGCCGCCGCTATTTAGTTTACATTTCCGAATAGCATGGGCCGGAAAAATGTTTGCAGATTAGCATAAAAATAGAGTTAGATCCCTGTGTGAACTTCGATTGCATTGTTCCGTCACTAATAAGCTACTGTTAGGTATAATTTGGATTATGTTCGGATTCTGAAAATTTCAGTTTTGCGTGAGAATGATATGTGTACCTTACCCTTCCTGTGATTATCTCGGATTCCCTTAGAACATCCTTATGTCGTATTTATCTTCTCTCAATCATGTGTATATCTTTCTAAGGTGTTAAATTTCTAGAAATCGAATATGCTTACTTTGTATTACAAGCAATATTTTTAGGATTCATTTTTACCATCTGTTTATCTTCTGATATTTTTTTACGTACCCCATCCCTTACCAGTTTGTTCTTCTTTCATCAGGTATGACCCTTCCACTGGTATCTATGGTATGGACTTCTATGTTGTCCTAGAGCGCCCAGGGTACCGTGTGGGACGTCGCCGCAGATGCAAGTCGCGCGTTGGTATTCAGCACAGGGTTACCAAGGAGGACTCGATGAAGTGGTTCCAGGTCAAATATGAAGGAGTCATCCTCAACAAGTCCCAAAATATTACCGGCTAGACAGATCAACCACAATCTCTCATATTTTGTTTTAGGTTTAGCAAGTTGTTGCTACTGTTTACCGATTTCCAAGTAAGAGCTAGTATTTTCTTTAAGACGATGTGCGAGTATTTTTGATCTTAAGAGCTATCTGACGCTCTCATGTTTCAACTCTTTTTTCTTATATGGGAGCATGTTTTATGTCTTGTTTCATTGCTTACTTTACAACCGCTTTGGCTAAACTTGTGATTGCTGTTTTCGGGTTAGAAAACAACCCCGATGGTTTGCTATTGCCGGATTTATCACTGCAATGCTTGTTCGTTTGGCTATCTACGACTGAGTTTTGAGTAACCTTTAATTCCTCTCGACTTCGCGAGTTCTTTCAGCTCGGGGAGTTTCATTTCTTCCTCTCTTACCAAATCTAATTCCTCGGTTCCGGACCTTCTGGTCGCTGAAGGTGTTGCTCTGTTATCCAGCTCAAGAAACTTCGACCTTGGGATTGATTGAGGTGGAAATGGGGACCGTTTCACAAAATTTTGACGGCGGTTCTCCTTGTAAAAACCTTCTGCCCTTCTTTCTCAGCAGCTTTGCCTGCAGTAATTATAATTTGATCAAGAAATAGTATGTGAAATATGAGAAATCTAATCATCGTAATCATCGATATTCTATACTGCTCTAATCTATGAGGACGGAACTCCGAACATGGATGCAAGGAGGTTGGCACACTGCCATCAACTGACCTAACCACGAAAAATGAGCATGTCTAGTTGCAAAAGTTGCGCACGAAGGAATCAAACAAGATGTTCATATCATCTACATTACCTTTTGGATTCCTTAAACCGTGAAGAGCCCGAAGAATCGAATCAGAATGCGGCCTATCTTCACAGTCATCGGAGCTAATCTTCTCATCCTCCACAGCCTCTTCTTTTGAGATCGAAGTTTGTATCCGTCTGAGCAGAGTAATGATCTCTTCCTGGCTCGATGCATTCGATTTTCTGGATCCCCGCTTCTTACTTCCATCCTTGTTGCTCCCCCTTTCTGATCGTCTCCGAGGAGGTTGGTGCCTTCCATTCCCTTGAGACGCAACGCTGCAGGAGACAGCCAAGTGAAGCTCCTTTCGCGGCTCAAAAGGTGAAGGCACATCTGCAATCTCAAGCCAAATTTAACAAGCTGCATCAAAAAATGATCCCTCAGTCTATTGCCACTAAACAACAAATTCATTTTCCGATATCAAATATCCAAACTTCTATTTGTTTCAAGTTAGTCAGCGGAGTTGACGTGTACGCTCCTTTACACTCAAGTTTGAATCTATTTCTCCATAAACGAGAGTAGTTTAAATTGTCGCACTTAAATTTGAATCCCTCTCTGAAAAGACTAACAATCCTAGACAATAAAATACTCAAACCGGGCCACCATTTATTTTATTTTATTTATTTAAATTGTCCACAACTTCTTGAGGCGTTTGTAAACCACGCGCCGCTATTTATTTTATTTATTTAAAAATTTATCTTCCAGGTTCCGACTAGTTGAAATTTTCGCGCGGCTTTGTTCGGTGTTCACACTTCACAGAGAAACAGAGAGCTATGTTGATGGTGGCCACAACCGCACCGCCAAACTTGTTGTCGATGTCTGCTCTTCCCCGCCACGAAAACAAATCAAAATCTTTCAGACCCTCAAATGGTTACATCTTCCTCAAACCCTCGTTAAAAACCCCTATGTTATCTCCAAATTCGGGCCTTTCTCGTGCCCGATTTCGCGTCTCCGACTCTCTCGCCGCACCCTCCATCACCAGAGTTGCAGACAAGAACGCCAAGATTAACAAGTACTGTGAAATGGGTAATCTGAAATCCGCCATGGAAATGGTGTCCGGGGCTCAAATATTCGAGCTTGACTTGGAGGCTTACTGCTCCGTTGTGGAGCTATGTGCTGGAATGATGTCGCTTCAAGACGGAAAAAAGGTTCACTCAGTTATCTGTGACAATGGTGTGGAAGCTGATGGGCAACTAGGTGCAAAACTTGTGTTTATGTATGTAAAATGTGGGGATTTAAGAGAAGCGAGGCGGGTTTTCGATAAGTTATCGAATGGGAAGGTATTTGTTTGGAATCTTATGATTAATGAGTATGCGAAGGTTCGTAATTTCAGGGAAGGTGTGTACTTGTTTGGGAAGATGCAGGAGCTTGGCATCCAAGCAAACTCGTATACGTTTTCATGTGTTTTGAAGTGTTTTTCGGCACTTGGATGTGTGCGGGAAGGCGAATGGATTCATGGATATCTGTATAAATTGGGTTTCGGTTCTGATAACACGGTTGGAAATTCGCTGATGGCTTTCTATTTTAAGAATCGAAGAATTGAGAGTGCATGTAAGGTGTTCGATGAATTGTGCGATCGAGATGTTATATCATGGAATTCGATGATAAGTGCGTATGTGTCTAATGGTCTTGCAGAGAAGGGGGTTGAGATTTTCAGACAGATGGTTTCTTTAGGGATAGATGTGGATTTGGCTACAATTATCAATGTTCTAATGGCTTGTGTAGCCGGTGGGAATCTTTCGCTGGGCAGGGCGCTTCATGCATATGCAATAAAAGCTTCTTTTGACGAGGATGTCATGTTCTGTAATAATGTTCTAGATATGTATTCGAAATGCGGGGATCTGAGTAGTGCAATCCAGGTTTTTAAGAAGATGGGTGAGAGAAGTGTTGTGTCATGGACTTCAATGATAGCAGGGCACATTCGAGAAGGGCTTTCAGATGAGGCAATCGGATTGTTCTCTGAAATGGAAAGGGACGGTGTTAATCCAGATGCTTATACAATCACGAGCATACTTCATGCATGTGCTAGTAGTGGCTCATTGAAGAAAGGCAGGGATATTCACAACTACATTAAGGAACATGGCATGGACTCTAGTTTATATGTCTGTAATACTCTCATGGATATGTATGCAAAATGCGGAAGCATGGAAGATGCTCACTCAGTTTTTTCTCGTATGCCTGCGAAGGACATTGTCTCATGGAATACCATGATAGGAGGTTACTCAAAAAATTGTCTTCCAAATGAAGCTCTTAAACTCTTTTCTGAGATGATGCAGAAATCAAAACCTGACAGCATGACAATTGCCAGTATTCTTCCGGCTTGTGCCAGCCTAGCAGCTCTAAATAGAGGTCAAGAGATCCATGGTCATATATTGAGAAATGGATACTTTTCTGAACGGCATGTTGCCAATGCACTTGTCGACATGTATGTCAAGTGTGGGGTACTAGTTCTTGCACGATTACTTTTTGATATGTTTCCCGTAAAAGATCTGATCTCTTGGACTGTGATCGTTGCTGGATATGGCATGCATGGATTTGGAAGGGAAGCTATTGCTGCCTTTAATGAGATGAGAAAAGCAGGAACAGAACCCGACGGCGTTTCCTTCGTTTCAATACTCTATGCTTGCAGTCATTCGGGATTACGCGATGAAGCATGGAGATTCTTCGATACTATGAGAAATGATTACGGCATTGTTCCCAAGTTAGAGCACTATGCTTGTATGGTGGATCTCCTTTCCCGCACGGGGAATCTAACCAAGGCTTATAAGTTTATCAAGACGATGCCGATTGAGCCAGATGCAACAATCTGGGGTTCCTTGCTCTGTGGTTGTAGGATCCACCATGACGTGAAACTAGCGGAGAAAGTCGCCGAACATGTTTTTGAACTAGAGCCCGAAAACACAGGGTACTATGTACTTCTGGCGAACATATATGCAGAGGCAGAAAAGTGGGAAGAAGTGAAAAAATTGAGGGAGAGGATCACTCGGCGAGGCTTGAAAAAGAATCCAGGCTGTAGTTGGATAGAGATCAAAGGCAAAGTTAAAATCTTTGTTGCTGGAGACAGTTCGCACCCACAAGCTGCAAAGATAGAGTCCTTATTGAAGAGATTACGATTAAAGATGAAGGAAGAAGGCCAGTCTCCGAAAATGCAGTATGCTTTGATTAATGCAGATGAGGCGGAGAAAGAGGTGGCCCTCTGTGGGCACAGTGAGAAGTTAGCCATAGCATTTGGGATGCTGAACTTGCAACCAGGGAAAACCATACGGGTGACGAAGAATCTACGAGTATGCGGTGACTGTCATGAGATGGCCAAGTTCATCTCCAGGACATCTAGGAGAGAGATTGTTTTAAGAGACTCGAACCGCTTTCACCATATGAAGGACGGGAATTGTTCTTGCAGGGGTTTCTGGTAATCTGAAGTTGGAGTTGAAGTGTAAATCACCTCCCCTTCACTCCGTTGATTGTCCTGTGCATGATTTGGTTTAGTTTGAAGGCATGCTATGCTTGTTCCCCAGTTTTGACGTGACTGAGATTGGAAGGGTGAATCAAGCGTGGATATCAGCTATTTTACGGCAGTTAATCGGCCGTCGAGATGCAGGGTTTTTTGTAATTTGAAACATCGTCTTGTAAATTCACAGCTAGATCATAGAGCAAAGGGAAAAGTTGGTAAGCTCTATGGAAATTAGTAAATTTCCCTTTCGAAAAAGGAAAGGTTTGTGTTTTTATTACAAGATTGTTTAAATTTTGCCTAATTTATCATTTGAAATTAGTGGGGATTTGTCATGCATCGGTGCTATTTTTCCAATTTCAGAGTTCGGGGCGTGACAGTATTTTAGTTCTGAGATTGTATGAACTTAGAATAGTCCTCACAAGGTAATTAGGGTGTTTTTGAAGTCATTCTATATAAATATTACTTTTCTTCCGAGTGTCCCAAAATGGAAATTCACCGTTTTAATATCATGATATTAGTTTGGTGTTGCTGTGCTTTTTTTTAAAAAAAAATTTGATGTGTTGTAAGAATAACAGTTGTAAAATAAAGTTATTGACAGTTTGGTAATTTTATTTATGTATTTTTTTTTTGTAAAAGTGTTTTTAACCAAAAAAAAAAAAAAAGGAGTTTTAACGAAACACTCATGGTACTGTTCATTTTTAACGAAAAATCATATTTTTACTTTTTTCTGATACTATTCACTACACATTTATTTGTCATTTTTTTTTTTATTAAAACTAAAGTTTTTTTTGAACTTTTCGTTAGTTTTTCTAAAAAAATATAATGCCTGATTGTTTGGTAAACTGTTATATAAATTGCTGTGAATATGTTAAATAACTAAAAATGATATGGTATTTATTGTGATATAATAATTGTCAAAGAGAATAATACAGAGACAATGATTGTAATTTTGTAAACTATGTGGGATTATACTTCTCATTTAAAAATTTCACTAAATAGGCAACGATTACAATGCTTTAAAAAAAACAAAAAACACTTTTTTAGAAGCATGTTGCTTTTTTTAGAAGCACCATATTCCCGAACCAACCCTATTTCATTCTAATGTGGAATTTGTATTTGATTTTTGGGCGAGCGCGTATACTATTATGGCCAACTTTTTTTTATTATTTTATTTTATTTTTTTAAGGAGGACAACTGATGACGAACCATGGTCATCCACCCCTTTTGGGCTCGTAAGAGGTTATTTGAGAATTGCACCATACCCACGGCCACAATCAAGCAGGTTCACAACTTACAAAATATTGAACCCAAGACTTCCCCTTCTTTTGCTTTAAGAAATTGTTGTTCATACTTTTTCATTGAACCACTTACCGTGGTTATTGTTCTGGCCAACTACCCAAACCCACATTGCAGTACCACCATTATTTGAATTCCAAAAGAGGCATATAAGGACCCAATTTTACCAAAACAAACGTACATTTAATCAAATCAGGTCCAAATTTATCATTAATGAATGTGCTACAAATATATACAACCAAAAAAAGAAAGTAAACTTAGAGAAAGCGAAATTAATGAAAGAGTAATGTTAGGGAAATTAAATTTGCAAATTAAATGATGTGTCATCAATAAGAATAAGCATGTTTATCAACGTTTAAGTAATAAATTAATCATCAACTTTCATATTCTTTAATTTTTAAAACTTTGTTTATAAATTTAATAAAAAGTAAGAATAAGTAAATGCTTGTGGCTGAAGGAAGGAAAATTACATACAAAATATATTAGCCGACCGTTGGATTGACCAAATCAAATGAAAATCCAGAGAGAAACAAAGGAGTCTCGCAGAAGGAGAAACAATGTATGCGGAAAATATGTCCCTAAAATTAAATCAACAAAGTGCAGTTTCAAGCTTGATCAACTTTCAACGACAGCATTTCGAGAGAAGAACCAAGAAAATAACGAGGAAGACAAGAGAAGAAAGCGCAATGGCTACACCAAGAACAACCTTATTTGGCCCATGTTGTCGATGCTGCTTCTGATCATCCTCATCACTGTCGTCATATTCCGAATTAGTGCTGCCATCCGCCGCCGAATCATCGCCTTTCGCCGGCGGTGGCGACATGGGCAGTCCATGTTTGTCGCAGGGAGAAATCCCCAGCTTTAGTTTTGACAACAGAACAGAGTGGTTGTAGCAGAGGTTGCTGTTCCCGCTAATCTTGAACACTTGCAGTCTGCTAATGAACGACGCATTGAACGGCACGACCCCGTGAAACTCGTTGTTTGCGAGATTTAAGTGCTTCAAGCCCTTCATGTCGGAGAGGAATTTCGGGATTGTTCCGTTGAGCTGATTCGAGCTCAGATCGAGATGAACTAAGTCCGGGATTGCTGAAATCGACTCCGGGATGGCGCCGGATAAAGAATTTGAGGACAAAGACACGTTCTTTAGCGAAATCAGGTCCCCGAACGAAGTGGGTATTTCGCCATTGATGGAATTGGAGGAAAGGTTTAAGGTTTCGAGGTTTTCGAGGAGTGTGAGGGAACTGGGTATCTTCCCCCGAAGCTTATTGCCGGAAAAATCGATGTGGGTAAGGTTTAAATTCATGTGTTTCGGAATGCTGCCGGTTAAATTGGCGTGGGAGATGGTGACTGACCTGAGCTTCTTCAAGTTTCCGAGGATGACGAAGGGTCCGGAGGCATTGACTTTGGACGTTGGAGACGGTGAGATCGGTGAGGTTTTGGAGGCGGGCAAGCCAGACGCCGGTGAGGTGGCGGAGGGAGTTGATGCAGGTGAAGGAGTGGAGGGAAGCGACAAGGTCGGCGGGGAAGCGGATTGGAGCAATGGGGCAGTTGAGGAACTGGAGTGACTGGAGGGTGGAGAGGGATTTGAGGGCGGTGAAGGAGAGGGCGACGTCGTCGGAGCAGTTGACGAGGCGGAGGGAAAGGAGGTGGCGGAAGGGCTTGGAGGAGTCGCAGCGGTGGTGTTTGGGGGGAGGATGGAGGGGTTTGTGCAGGGGTCTTTGGAGGTGGGAATGTTGAGGGATTGGAGGGCTCTGAGTTGCTTAGGGTCGAGTGTGCTTGAAGATGGTGCGGATGTTGAGGTGGTGGAGTTTGGTGGGGTGGGGGAGGAGTTGGGAGATGGGGTTGGGGGGAGTGGTGCTGTGGCTGAGAGGGTGGTGGTGGAGAGGAGGAGGTGGAGAAGTAGAGTGAGAAGCAACGGTGGTGGTTCCATTTTAGAGAGACACAGAAATAGAGAGGGAGAGAGAGAGAGATCTTGCGCGATGGGGAAGAGTGGGAGTGTGTATTTGTGCGAGGAATTCAGTGTGTGTACTAATGGAAGAACTTGGGTTTTATAAAAAGAAAAAAAAAATGAAAGAGGTTGGAAGCGAGAGATTTTTCAGTGTATTTAAAACTTAAATTAATATGCCATATGCCTTTTTACTTACATATAATATATGTTTATGTTCCGAGCATGATGATGAAAAATCACTTCTCGAGAACAATGAAATGAGAACTTAAACCAGCAGCCACCAACACCCTTGCAGGCAAAGAAAATAATAATAATCTACCAACTTTCTTCACTTTTATTCTTTTTGCAACAATGATTATGAAAAATAAGAGTGGTTGCTTGTATGAAAAGGATAACCCGGTTGAGTAAATATATAAAAAGAGGATTATATTCACACATCCTAAATTACTTCCTTTACATTTTTTTAATTTTTTTTTAATATTTATTTACCAAGTGCCAGTGGTGGGTAGAAAATATTAAAAAATTAAAAGAATGTGGGAGAAGTAATTTGGGTTGTGTGAATATAATCTCTCTATATAAAGCCGGTAGGCTTTTGAATAATGATTTTTGGTGTCACAAGTTTCACAAAAAATAATTGGATAGAAATACCCTTCAAACAAAAAATTTAAAAACAACTCAAAATCATACATCAAATGTGCTCATGTTAAAATTTAAATACAAGAACATGTTAATGCAGTAATTAATCAAATAGTAACCAGTAAGTAAATGGCTTATTAATCTGACAATATCCTTTTAAAAATTTAGTTTTCCGTTAAAAGGCAGAGGCCAAATAGCTCGTATGGCTGCCGCAGCACGTTTATGGGATCGAGTAACTCCTACTCAGTCCACACCATTGTGAGTTTGTGGAGCAACTGTACCCTAAGTTCATAATAACTTAGGAGGAAAACTTCGATAGAGCTGCTTAATTAAGATAGCTCTTGTACGAAGTGTAACTAAATGTCTAAAATATATAACGTCCTCTAATTTTGTAAAAATTGCTCTACAGATGACGTGGTCAAAGTTTTAAGTGCCAAACAAAAATTTTCCTCCACATCGTCAAGGAGTTTAGAAAAGAAATACTTACAAATGCAATGGACAAAGTACCTTACATATGTGTCAATTCATTACAATTACAACATCTTTTTACACTGATATTGTAGGGCAGCAATGCTTAAATCTTTACACACTGATTGTCAAAATCCAAAAGAAAAAGGAAACAAAAATCATTACAAATCTTTCTAAACTACAAAGAGAGGAGAACTCGTTTGTGATTCCCAGAAATCAAGTTTTTCCTCGCATTCAAACTATAGCGAATGCAACATCGTGGAAAACTTTGTCGTAATTTCTCAGCAGTCTATGGAAATGCAGCTTTGAGCAAGCGTTGAGCTGTCCACTTTGCTCACAAATGGATTTATCTTCACCCAAACAAGGGAGAAGACAGAGGCCAAGAGCACTGACCACAAAACAACGATGGTTGGAGTCCGGTTTTGGCGTCCCATGAGACCTTTGAGGAAGGGATATAGATGAAGAATCACCCAGAAGGCAAAGAAAACCTTCCCGAAAAGTGGCCCCCAAGCTTCGTATCCCTTGTTAAGGGCGTCCGAAAATCCTGCTACAACACCAACCATGTTTATAATGAGGAGTGTAGTTGGGGGAATCAAAAGTGTGGTCCATTTGATCAGATAGAGCTCTCCGAATTCTGTGTCTTCGGCTGATTTGGTTGTGACGGTGAAGTTGGTGTCAATTCCGGCCAACATCTTTAAGAAACCTTGGAAGACGGCAAAGAGATGGGCTGAAACACCTCCGATCACCCAGAACTGCTCGTTACGCCATAAGTCCTCAATGCGGACTCCACTCCACCTCAACTCAAGCACACTTGTAGCAATGATGGAGATAAAGAGGCCAAGAAACAGGGCACTTGCCAGGTTTGTAAGCTGAATCAAAGATCAAAGGAATTATATTTAACTCGATTAATGCAGTGGCCAAGTTTCTTGATATCAAGAAACACATTCAACGATTCAACAGTTTAAAACTACTGATGT